TTTCTCTGCCACTTCTAGCTACTGTGGGAGAACTATATTGGCTCATGGGATGTTTTGAAGGCTCAAAAACTTGTGCTAAGCCATTTCATCCAGCAATAGCCATGTGTGATTCTGTCCTCAAACTTGAGCAAAGCTCTTTTTGCTCTAAGGAAAGCTGCATTCTGCTGGTGTTTTGTGGTCCGCCTGACCAGGCCCCCTGGGCACCCGGAGGTCAGGTACCTTTTTGTTTCTAAGCACCCTTTCCTTGGGAGGAGCAAGAAAGCCCTGTTTTGCTGTGATTATTTTGGATATTGGCACAGTTGACCCATGTGTAAACTTGAAGGTGGTCCTAGTGTTCTGACTGCAGTGGTAGCTTGTGGCTATCTATGTGCGGTCCCACCCAGCCCCACATGGGGTACCTCACGCTGTGGTGGTCATAGTTTCCAGCATTCTCACTCTGATTCTACCCTTAGTGGTCCCTGCTGTACTGGCTGCTACCAGCCTTGTAAGTCAGCATGAGCCCCACCCTCGGGCATTCTCTTGGCCCAGCCCTTCTACATAAGCACCCAGTGAGCCCATGTCTCCTGGTGTCCTGTATAGGAGCTGTCCAGAAGTCCCTGTCCTGTTCCTCTGACACTGCCACATGTCTTCAGGGAAGGGTGGCTAAGTCTACTGCAGAGAAACATGGAGACTGCCCCACCACCCCCGAATCCTGCAGCTCACAATTGTTCTACATAGTTTATTCTATGCTTCTTCACTACACAGCCCTTGCCTGTTTGCCCTAATTGAGCAAAATCCTCTACTGAGCTGTCCTGCCTCTGCTCACCAGGGTCTCTACCTGGACTACCTTTCTTTCCTCCTGTCTCCAGGTTGTCCTCATCCTAAATTTACTTTGGGCTCAGCCTGGGGTTGGCCCTGGGGCCTTCCTGACTTGTGTATTATCCTGACCTATTATCTGGTTTATTTTCTTGGGCAGGCCTGGTGAGGACACCGATGCATGCTGTGAAATGGGTATAAGACAGCCAGGGCTCTGGCTCATACAGGGGCGGTAACTGCCAGTGACTGGCTCCTAGGGAGTCACGCTGTGAGCATTGAAGGGCTCATCTCTGGGCATCTGGCACAGTGTATAAGTCTTGTGACCCAAAGGATGCAGCCCACATGTAGCTCCTGGAGATAAAAGGACATTGTAGGTACTGCTGTTGGGACATTTGAACTGTGTGTGCGTGTGTGTGCGTGTGTGTGTGTGTGTGTGTGTGTGTGTGTGTGTGTGTGTGAGTGTGAGAGAGAGAGAGAGAAAGAGAGAGGAGAGAGAGAGAAAATGCAACAAGGTCCCATAAATTGTTTGTACATAATAGCAGGTTTGGTTGTTTAAATTGCCCCCTTGGCTCCAATGCATCATTGTAATAGATCACTTAAGTGTTTTTGCAATTTAGACTGAAGCCGAGTTACCCAACTCTGACTTAGGAAGTGTTCTTTTCATTTAGAAGAAGGGCAAAGGGTTGAGAGTGGTCAACATGAATGGTAGGTTTGCCATGGAGGGGGCACCTTCAACAGCAAGAGGTTTTCTCTGAAGTTCTGGAGGCCACAAGTCCAAGACCCAGTGGTAACAGTATTGGTTTCTCCTGAGGCTCTTGTCCCTTGACCCATAGATGCTCTTCCCATGTATCTGCACATAGTCACCCCTCTAATGTGTCCTTGTCCTAATCTCTTATAAGCATACCTCGGGTTCAGACCCATCTCAATCACCTTCCTAGAGACCTCATTTCCCCTTGCTGAGGTACTGGGGCTCATATAAATTAGAGGGCATATACAGAAGTATCAGGCAAGATGGGAGATATCTTTCCTGGCTGTACTTTTATGTTTTTCATTTTAAGTGCTTTAATCAGGAAAGACAGTCCCCATTGGCCAGTAGAGGAGAGGAGGGACTGAGATATGCCCTCTATACACACCTATTGGAGTCCTAAGTGACAGCCACCAGTGCAGACAGATGTTTAACGTAGGCCAGCAACTGTGGCTTTGTAGTATACTTAGGTGACTGTGCTAGGTGTGCATCAGGTGCCAGCCTAACATACAGCAAACAGTACCTAGGTCAGTCTTACTATTGCACTGGTCTTTGTTTTGTTTTGCTTTGCTTTTGTGGCTATCCTTTGGGCCTGGGTACTGTCCCTGAGCTTTCATACTCAAGGCTACCACTTGAGTCACAGCTCCATTTCCACCACTGCACTGTTCAATGGATGACTTTCTACTTGTCAAGATGCTTCTTATTTTAAAGTTTAACTCTTTGCATAGTCCATCCTAGATATGTTGCTGGGCTACTTGCTCACTGAGCTCCCTGTCTTGGAGTCTTGGTCTGAGCCCAAAGCCAAAGGCTCAGTCATAGCTGTAGGCCCTCACAAGGGCATCACAGAAAGCTTTCCTGGACCTAACTTGCACTAGTCACCACTGTTGGCCATCTGCAGGGTCCCAGATGTTAGGTCCTGGGATCTCATCCTTACCCTTCAGCTCAGTTTGTGTGGTGCTGCCCTCCCCTTGCATGCCCCCCCCCCCCCCCCACTGATTATGGACCACAGGTATCGGGGTGGTGAGCCTGCTGAAGCAGAACAATTGTCCTCCAGCTGTTGGCTACAGTGTGGGCCATATGCCCTGAGCCAGCAACAGCTTCAGCCGCTGTGCCAGCTGTCAAGGACTTTCTGGGCTGGCACAGCTCTTGGAATCAGTGCAAACAGCTTCCTCTGTTGAATGTTTCCCAGAAGCAATTGTTCACTAATGTTCAGTGCTGCCGTGCCTATGGCCTGAGTGGGTGGCATCCCTGGGCCGAGCAAGACTACTGCCTTGCTTGCTACTCTGGGACCAGGTAGCCCCACCTTCCCCACCTCTGCTCCCTAGCATGAAGGTTGAATACTTTTTGTATGTGTGTGACATTTGCTGGTGCATCGCCATTGTCCTCCTACTGTCCTTAGAGGTGGGGGCATAAGATGTTTTTGTCCTCAGACATTGCCAGTACTGGAATTTGAAGCTTCCTAGTATAGCCCTCAGATGGTCCTATTCTTTGGCTGTTGTTCCTCTGTCCGCACCTGGTCAGCTCCATTCTCTGGTCACACTGATGGCAGCGATGGCTCAGGTCGGCATGAGGCTTCCCACCTTGGATTGATGGCAGCCTCGTCTATTACATGAGACACTTTCTTCATTTTACTAAGTTGTGGTTTTATTTTGAATAAGGCTCTTTCAACCTATTAATATTAGTCTATGCCAAAATTAACCTTCCCCTAAATTACTCTCACCCAGAAGGAGCAAAGTAATTTTGAAAGTTAAATCAAAACAAAGCAATCTTGTGTGTAAAAGTGGATAAACATCGCAACCTGTGGTTACGGAGCGCTGCTACAGGGATCATTGACATAAAGCCCATTTCCTTCTATCTTGCATGGAAGGAAATGCCCTGGCCTTATCACAGCCCCCAATGTCTAATTAGCGCTTGAGAGCCAAAGGGGAGGCCCCTTGTAGCTGGTGTTGGTGGGGATATTTGGGGTATGAGAGGAGACAGATGTCACTGCCACTGGTTCCCTGGGAGGTACCTTGGGAGTATTTATCACTCTGCAGGGCTGCAGGTGAGGCTGTGTGTGGAGGACAGACAGAATGTGGCCCAGAGCAGTGAGGCAGATGCTTCTCTTGCCTTCTTCCATTGCTCTGAACTTAGACACCTTGTACTGCCCTGCAGAATGAGCTCCAATCTAGAGGTTCTGAAACCATTGAACTCTGGGGTTTCTCTTGAACAGTTTCTCTCAGTTTGCCATAAAGAACACTTGCACACATGCCATGTGTGCATTTGTGTGTGTGCTGTGTGTTGTGTGCTGATGCACCAGCTTGAATTCAGGGCCTGGGCACTGTCCCTTAGTCTATCTACTCAAGACTGGCAGTCTACCACTTGATCCACGGCTCTACTTTTGGCTTTTTGCTGGTTAGAGATAAGAATCTTATTGATTCCTGCCCAGACTGGCTTTGAACAGAGATCCTCAGATGACTTCCTAAGTGTCTAGGATTACAGGCCTGAGTCGCCAGACCCCTATCAGAGAGTCATTTTTATGTTCTTTTCCCTGCTCTTTCCTTTCCAGGCCCCCTGTGGAAGAGGGTGTTGACTCAGGTGTGCATGTGTGTGTGTATGTGTGTCTGTGTGTCTCTCTGTGTGTACATACAGGGAGCACACTTCATATTCACAGCATTTTATCCAGCCCAGTAACCCAGAGCACCCTGAGGTACAATGGCAGTCACTGCATCACTTGTTTAGCTTTTTAGGGCAAATTACCCCCAAACCACTGGTTGCTCAGATAAATTTACAGCTACCAGAAATTCACCCTTGAGCTAGTCTGAAACATACCTTCTGTCAATGAACATGGATAGAGCACAGTTCTTTCATGCCTACCAAGTTCATTCCTGTCCCTCCACAAGGGACCCATCCAGTCATCCTGAGGGCTTTTTTGTCTGGCACCCACTGAATAATATGCCATCTGAAATACTGACATTCAAGGATTTTCTTTTTTTTCTTGAGACTTACCAACATTACCCCTGTTGGAAGGAGAAAGTCACTTAGCATGCTTGTCCTTTATGCAAGGCCTACCTACCTCCTTTGGCAGGGGAGATGGAAATGAGTTCTGCTTGCTACGGAGAATACAGGTGCTCTTTAAGAGGTACCTTCTGTAGCAATTGAGGCTGAGTTCTGAGGATCACAGTTGTAATCCTAGCTACTCAGAAGGCTAAGATCTGAGGATCTGAGTTCAAAGCCAGCCTGGGTAAGAAAGTCCACGGGACTCTTATCTCCAATTAATCACCAGAAAACCAGAAGTAGAGTTGTGCTTCCAAGTGGTAGAGTGCTAGCCTTGAACAAAAGAGATCAGGGACAGCGCCCAGGCCAAGTTCTGAGTTCAAGCCCCACGACCTACCCTCTTTTCCCTCTCCCCTCCCCCCCCCCCTCCAATAAAAAACAAACCTCAGGGATGAACTAAAAAGCCTTGCTTTTATTGTTGCAGGTATTTTTGAATAATTACCAAGCAGCCGAAGACCAACCCCAAATGGTTATCTTACGGCTGTTACGTTACATCATTCGCCTGGTGTGGAGAATGCATTGACGGAGTCTCTGCAAAGCCAAGCCATTGCAGACATTGCGCTTGTTCAGCTGACAAGCCCCAGTACTGCGTGCGGTCTCTTGGTCTTGTGCTGCCATCACCTTGCAGCAGCTGAGGGCAGGCCACATGCTCAGAAGACACTGCACCATGTTGGATGTGAACTTGGATCTTCCTGTTGGTCACCCCAGGCAGAATTTCCATGGGAAGTTAGTTGTGAATGTAAATGGAGGAGGATTCTTCTCTTTTTTAATGTACAAATCATGGTTCTTTGGAGCAGGATTATGTACCAGAATGGTGTTTACATGTTGGGGGGTTTTCCATCTCTAATAACAGTTTGGTTTTGTGTTTTGTTTTTTTTTTTCCCCAGAAGGAAATGGAAACTTTGTGAATAATTTTTGTACTAAAAATTTAAGGACCTATTGCCTACTCTCAGAGGATTATGTTAGCCCTGCAGTGGAAACTGAGCCAGCTAATTTATAAAGCTGCCTTAGTTTATTTTTAGAGATTACTGTACAGAATTTTTAAACAGGGAGAGGTAGATATCACCCTCCCTTCCCTGCCATTGCCTCTTTGAGCTTTCTTTTTTTAATTATTATTAATACCAAAAGAGTTCTTATGAAATGAATGAATTAAAGGGGCAAAGACTCTGTTGTTTCATTCATATATCACCCCTGTTTTGTAAATATTTAATTACCTACTTAACTTCAGTTGCCTTGGTGGTAAAACTTCAAATTGTTTTTGCTGAGCTCCTTTGGGAACACTTTGGGCCTGTCTTGAGATATATTGTTTGGAGCAAGATCATTCCAGTTCCATGGATTTGTTAGTAGCTGTCCAGTGGGAAGTGCCTGATGGCTTTGCTTTTTTCTGATGGGCTTTTGTTTAGTATTCTGAACAGGAGTGTCAGCCCTTGGGAGCTGTCGGCTCTTCTGGTTGCAGGTTTCTCACTGGCATAGGGACACTGCATCAAGTCCCAGATGGTCACCATTCCCTGTGCTGCTGTGTCCATGCTGTGCCCTTGTAGAGACTGGCCCAAGCCACAGACTAATAATGATGGCCCTTTTCCAGGCATCCTGGATTTTAATCCAGCTCAGCCTTCAGACCTGTGAAACCTGCACTTCCTCCCCACTCCTGTCAGCCCACTTTGAAATAGAGGCTGCCCTTTACTTTGATCAGCATCATCAAACCAGCTCCATTAGGCAGAGTCTAGAATGCTCCTTTCAGCCTGCTGAAAGATGGTTGTTTGTGTTCCCATCTTCTTAATCAGACTACTGGGCCTCTTAACTCCATGGGGAGCTCTTTCATACCCCCTTAGGATCATGTGCACAGGAAGTCTACAGTCCGCAGTCATTTCAAAAGCAAGCAGGGCTGGGGGAGTAGCCTGTAGTGGAATGCTTGCCTTCTGCTCTCCTAGTATCTGCGTAGCCTTGTGTTCAATTCCAGTCACCACCCAAAATAAAACAATAGAAAAGCAAATAAACAATCGGGGAGACCCAAGACAAACACAGATGAGAGAGCAGCAGCAACAGGAGGAAGAGGGGAAGCTTGAACCCTGTAATTTGTTATCTTTGAAAACTAGTGATTAACCAACTTTCTAAAAGAAATACATGAGATGTCAAGCAAGTCAGCATTGCCAACAACAATTGTACTTTTGCCCCATAGAAGATCAGTGTTTTCACGTTAGTAAGTTAAGTGGAATTCCATTTGTTTGTATCTTTATAAGTTTATATGTATATATGTGTGTGTATATATATATATATATATGTATGTATGTATGTATGTATATATTGTCTCTGCTTTTTCCTTTAGGTAGAAATCATTTGATTCTAAATAGTCTTCCTTCTTTAAACTTCTCTTTCCCCTAGGATCTTCTTGGGGTTTTTGAATACTTTGAAAGCTGGGTTGGAGCTCAGCTTGTGTATTGGATGTGTCTTGAACCCACTTGTGGGGTCCCATGCAGCCCACAGTTGTAGAATTGTGTTAGGATTACAGCCGTGGCCCTGCTAGACACACACACACACACACACACACACACACACACACACACACACACACACACACACACACACACACACACACACACACACACACACACACACACACACACACACACACACACACACACACACACACACACACACACACACACACCAAAGATGTATTTGGTTCTGGGCCATCCCCCTCCTAGGACCTCCGTGCTCATGTGCCAGTCTCTCTGACTGGAGCACTTTACTTTTCTTCAGATCTGACCTCCCTGGGAGTGCATGCAGCCTGGGTGGCTGCTGGTGGCTCTCCATGCCAGGTGCTTGGGTGCATGTGCCACCCTTGCGTGCTTACCTTTAGCTTCCTGGCCGGGAAGCAGCAGCTGGTGGGAAATGAGGAATTCTATGAATTACGGAAGTATTAAAGACCCCAGTGCTGGTGCCAGAATTTAGAGATGACTGGATGTCTCTGTACTGTATCTGTTTATTAAATGCCTCCCTGCCGAAAGCATGCCCACCTACTCGGTATGCCTTGTACTTTCTACTTAGTTTTAATTTTTTTTTTTAGAACAAGAACTAGATCCCCTTAAAATTAAGAAAACAAAAACAATGCGGGTTTTGTGCCTTGACAACCTCTCTCGAATGTGAGGTTTGTAAAAAGTGTCCTGTAACTTCATACTGAGAATGCAATAACTATACAATGACTTCTTGAGAAGACCTCGGATTCCCTTCCCCGAAGAGAGTTAATGGAGAATTGGGGGCAGGAGAGGGGAAGGGAGGTGCTTTTGGAGAAAACAGCCTAAAAGTCATTAATTTTTTTAAATACACTTGCAATTTCTCCTTGTTTTCCCTTCCTAATATTGTATATATCTATTTATTAGACTAGGAGGTCATATTTTACTTACCAACTGAGCCAAATGTCTGTGCAATTGTGTCTCCTGTACTTTTCTTGTAAAATTGTGTACAGCATAATAGAGTAAAAGAAAATCACTGTTTTTTAAACTTTCCAAAATCGAAGAGTGTAAATAATGTAGATTCTTTTTCTATGTAATGTGTCCTACTGTTTCATAATGCTGTAACTTGTAAAAATATTGTATATTTATTTTCTGCTTATTTAATGTCTTTAAGTTCTTGAAAGTGTTGACATCCTGTTCCTCACAGCCTTGCCATCCCATGAATTGCTTCCACTCCCAAGATGGGAGGTAGTGACCTTGCCAGCTCTGGGGGGATAACTTGGTCTCCCTGGAGAGGTCCCCAGCTCCCATTCCTCCTGTCATTCAGTTCTTGAGATTTTGTGCCCTTTGGATGAAATTTGTCTTTAGATATCAATGAGAAACTGTAAGTCCAACAGGCTATAAGATTTTCCTCTGAAAATAATGCCCAACAACCTGTTTTTTCCAAAGTAGCTAGATTATCAGGTCAATTTGCTAAAACTCCAGGGTATGTCTTTAAAAAAAAAAAAATGATATGATTGACCAATGAGAAAGGTTGTCCCATTGACAATTTATCCCTGATGACTCAATGTTGAGAAAAATAAAAATATTCCATCTCAAAAGGACCAGGGTGGACAAAGGGACAGGAACATCATTAGATCCCTTCAGCATCTGGTGAAAAATGGAGAATTTTTTTTTCACCATTCACCATGTGGCTTCCTGTGCCTTGAAATATGGACTTAATTATTGGTCTTCAGGAGCTAATTGTCCACAGCTCCCACCCTTAGTCACTGCATTTGGTCAGTCTGCTTCTTTAGGCACACACCCTCTTTCCAGCCCATTCCCTTTGACAAAGTTAGCTCCCCGACCCTGGGGGGGAAAGAGGTTAAGGTTGAAAGTTCATGGAAGCTCCAGGGACTTGCAGTGAGTTCTCACAGATGCCCTGTCCTCCCTACTGTTTTAGCCTGGTGCCTGTGTGTGTCCGCTCAGCACAGGTGTGCAGGGCTGTGTCCACATGTGACGCTAAAGCAGCTGGGGTTCACCCTACACAACATTGTGTTCAAGAAGCACCCTCAAGCTCCCAGCTAAGGAACTTGACTACTTTTATGTGGGGATTTCAGCCTTTAGGAGTTTTGCATAGATTTTGTGTCCAGGTTCTATGACCACTGGTTACTGTATCTAAACCTGTCAGGTACCCATTATAAATAGCACTGATCTGTCTATACTGACCCATTACTGATGTGTTTCTCATGACCCAGCATATGTAGCGTCTATATTGCAGTTTCCCTGGCTTCCTTGTGTTTTGCACTGACGAATTTTGACAGGGTAATTGCCACTTTACTTGTGCAATACTGCTGTAAATAACTGCAGATTTTTTTTAAGAAACTCGATCTTTTATGTTCCTAATGAATTTTATATAAATAAAACTTTCAACTAGTTTTGGTGAGCTGTTTGGTTTGTTTTCACAAATGGTCCAGAAACGGCTAAAGTTAGGTACAGATAAATAACATCTGCCTTTGATGGGTCAGGATGTATTAGTATAAGGCAGGTAACTTCTAGCTTGAAGAAGAGTTTATGTCCTACACTTTAAAAGCCAACAATGCTTTTCTATTTTGAGGTTGCTGTGTGGCTAATGCCAGGTGTCCAGCCCGGAAAGTTAAGTGTGACAGCACTGGCATGTAAGGCTGGTGGGGGGAAAGAAGTGAATGGGGGCTAGAGAGCCCACTGGGCACTGTTGACCCCACCCACTCTCCTCACCTCAGAGAAACCTGATTGGACACTATAACACCTGCTCAGAGCCCAAGGGCCATCCCCAAGTACCTGGCACAAGTGCCCCTGAATGTAGGTTGATCACAGCCCCCATTCTCTGAGAGGATTGAGCGTTGCAGGTGAGTATGGATTGAATCAGGGATGCTGGTGATAAGACCCAGCTTGGGGATACAAGTTGTTAGGTCCTGGTAAGTAAGCATGATTCAATGCTTTGGCTCTGAATCAGATATGAAGAAAGTGCTGAGCTTTTGTTTTGGAATCCGTTCATGCTCTTAATTGAGCAATTCATAAACATGACCTTGTAAATTTTATTAACTAATTTATTTCAAATTAGGTTTATTTCAGATTAAGTTGTTTTGGCTGCCACCCTTCAATCCTTCCTCTTCACCCAAATAGGAATCTAGATCTTTCCAGACTCCTTTATCTGCACACTGTGTATGTATTTACATCCTCTATAAAGGCTCTAGGTGGTTCTTAAGAATAAGCCATAGATCTTTGTAGAATAGCTCCACTTTATACTAACCAGTGCAATGAGAGCCAGAAAACAGGTGTAAGTTTGCTCACAGGCATCCGGTCCTGGTGATGGTTTGGGAGGGTAGGGCTATCACCTCACCAGCTGTGGAAGATAGTGCCAGGTGCACATGCCACACCAGTAGCATCCTATGGACACCTGCCTGTGATGGAACATTGACACCAGTGTCAGCCATACGCTGGTGGATGATGACGGAATGATGGTACTGGCTTATACTTGCATGTCTCTGCAGTAGTGTGACAAGCTTCTCAGATATTGTTGGCAGAGCTATAGGTTTTTAATGGAGTTTTTCCTTTATATTGATCAGATCTATTCCAAACGAAAGTCTTCTGTGCCACATTGATCCATCTTTTCATCTGTTGTTTAACCTTTTCCCTGACATTATAAAAAGTTTCCAGCATACAGGCAAGTAGATAGGATTTGACAGAGCCTGTGTACACCTGTGTGCTCTCCACTGCCTACATGCCTACTGCCTATCCTCTAATTTGATCTTGAGCATTTTACTATGCTGACATCCCACATCCAGCCATTAGACAGCTTTGTTTTGGTGCATTTCTTTTTTATGCCAGTCGTAGGGCATGAACTCAGGGCTTGGGCACTGTTTCTGAGCTTTGCTGATCAAAACTAGCACTCTACCACTCAAGCTACAGCTCTACTTCTAGTTTGTTTGGTAGTTAATTGGAGAAACGAGTCTTATGTACTTACATGATCCTCAGATTACAGCTCCTGAGTAGCTAGGATTACAGGCATGAGCCACGAGCACCCAGCTGTTTTGGTGCATTTGAAAGTTGTAATTACTAGTAACATTCTTTCTAAATTTCCAGCATACATGCCATTCATTTAAAATTTTTTGTCATAGGTAACATTAGCAAATACATGCATTTGTGGTTTTTTAAATATATTAGTTTAGTTATGGGGGAATGAGTTCATTGTTAAATTTTCACACAAGTTTACAATGTATTTCAATCTTACCCTCTATCACTCTTCCTGTACTCTGTCCCAAAACAATTTCAATGGCTTCATTGTTCTATTTTCATAATTGTAAACCTGTTTTCACTATTATTCAAAATCCTTCATCCTCCTTGCTAATCCAACCCCCTTCTTTTAATTCTCATACACCCCACTGACAGATTCTAGTTTTCTTTCCCTGCCCTTATTCCCTTATTGATCAACAGCTTTCACTGAAGTTCCTTATGACTTTTTCCATAAATATTTTGTGTATTTATTCCAAAATTATTTACCCCCTCATTTTCTTTTTCCTTCCCTCCTTACCCCTTTCTTCTTCTCCTCCTATGTAGTCCCTTGATTCGTGTTCTATGTACATATAATTGTGTATATGGATATGTATACATATATACATATAGACACATGTATATACATATGTATTTTGTACATTTATGTGTATTAGGTATTTATATGTCCATGATTATATGTGTACCACATTGAATAAGAGCAGAGAGTAGACAGTCTTGCCTCATCCCTGATTTTAGGGGAATTATTTCAGTTTTTCCCTTTTTATGATGTTTGTTGTAAGTCTGTCACATAGAGCCTTTGTTAAATTCAAGTATGTCCCTTCTATTCCTAGCTTTTGCAGGGCTTTTATCATAAAAGTATGTTGAAATTTGTCAGATTTTTCTACATCAATTGAGATGATCATGTGAATTTTATTTTTAGTCCAATTTCTGTGGCATTTGCTAAGTTTTGAACAAAGAGAACAACTTCCATCCACACCCCTATCAAGCAATGTAACTGTGGCTTTAGAAAGCCCCTCTGCTCTTTGCCAGGCTGCCCCTCCCCTTCTTGCC